AAAACTAAAATATGACAATATCAGAACCAGAAACAAAAGTGATATGGTTCTAGAAAAGATCGGCTTTGACAATAGACGCATCCCACTGGGGAAACAAACATGGCAGTTTGATGCTCACTTTTTTGGAAAATCCTTCCCAGTATGCATTGTGCAATGACCGGAAGTGCGAGATTCTTGATGCATCTATAGTTAACACTGAATCCAGAATAAGCATAATGTAAAATAATACAACATTTTTAGAGCGGGCAGCTCTAATACATGTTTGATATGATCTCGTGGGCTAAGTTTGAGTTTGACATGTCTGCTTTAGGGCAATATGACATAATAACTGCACATTTTGACATGCATCTTGATATATTTTGTGAGTAATAATTCATTTTTTGTTTAGATACAAACAGGATGCAGCAGCTCACAGATTTTTCCTGGGCAACGCAACATCAGGAATTCCCAAACTGAAGAGACTGCTGATCTGCAAGCTGAATCAAGAAGAGCAGCACTTCACCAAATTCACAGCCTTAACATCCAGGAAAAACTCTTGGAAAAAAAAATAAAGTCTTGATATTGAGTCTTTCAGATGGATGATAGTAATTGTCTTATATTTGGTTATGTAACAGTTGCTTACCTTATATCGTGCGTTCTTCTGAGACTTCACATTGCTTCTCATTGGTGTGTGCATGTTAACGCTTATGTTCCAAACCAGAACCAGCTGGACTCGTGCTGTTCAGTGAAGTATCCAGCCGTATCCAACTTCCAGTTCACCTTTTTCATTTTCTACAGAAACTCAAACGTCAAAAATAGACAACTTGCATATTGGATCTGAGACGTGACGCCGTGGTGTAAACCATCTCATTACATTTTAACACTTTCTAAGAAGCACAGGTCTCGGACTGGAGACGTGACGGAGGTGATGTACATGTAAATTATTGCACTTAGAATTCTCAGTAAATGCCTCATAATAACCTAATGGATATTTTATCACATTAAGGCTGAATCTCATTACACCCCCCTGGCCACACCACTTTCCCCTGTCCCTACTTTTTGTGTGTTCACATGTAGGGGCAGGGGTGTCACAGTTACCGTTAAGCAGAGGGGTGGGGGAAAGTGGTAGTGTTATATACCTCTCCAAACGAAGACTTTTCAGAGGCACACTCCAAACGGAGGGGTATGAGCAATTTCCCAGAATCCCTTGTGAATCACCGGCAAGATGGCTGCTACCACAACCACAGAGACCAAAGAAGTTCACAAACTGTAGACGGCATGTTGGATTTCTAGGAAAAGTTTGTTGTGTCTGCTTACATAAAAGCTGACGGAGACTATTGATGACGTATGTGATTGTTGAAGTGGTGTCCCAGTTGGTAAGGCTTTACTTTCAACCCCTACTCCTTGTTGCTCAGTTTCTTGGGGCTAGGGGTACAAATTAGAAATGGGATTGGCCATAAAAGGTGAACTGCCGGCCTCCATGGAGATGTTATTGCTTTGCCTGGAATATTCCACAGTATAGGATAAGACTTTTCAGGTCAAGTTACGGGTCAAATCTGTGGAGAAAGGAGACCATTCACAGTAGAAATGCTTGTTTTTCTTTTTTTCTTCAGGCTTCTTCATAATATGCATGAGGTGGCAGACGCTGTACCAGAAAAGTTACATAGTGCATCTTTAACTACTTCAAGTATTAATCACTCAAGAGTAGGGGTGAAACGATATCTAAGTCTCACATACGATATTGTCACGGTATGAACCTCACAGTACGATATTTATTGCGATATCGTGGGAAAGCTCATGATACGATGAGGAGTCTCACGATTAAGAATGTAACAATATCCAAATCTCTCGGGACGATATTTTCACGATATACATCTCACAGTACCATATTTATTGTGATATTTGTGGAGGCAAACAAAACTGTAAATATGCTACTTTTTCCTCTTAAAATGCCTTGACAAGACTTAACCCAAAGAACTAAGACTTAAAAGTGCTTATAACTGTTATTTCTTCTTGTAGTCTGCACTAAAATAGCCAGACTGGTGCCACCTAGTGCCTCCGCTCAATTTCATTTCTCTCCAGGAATCAGGAATCAGAATACACTAGACGGTTTGCAAAAACCCAGGAAATGCGAGTTCGGGAACCAGCCAATCAGTGAAGAGCCATACCTTCTGTGTTGGCAATGATTCCCAAGATCGAGGATTTAAAGCCGGAATGAATTTTATCAAGGGGAAAGACGTTATTGTCCTTCTTCCTACGGGATTTGGGAAAAGCTTAATTTACGAGTTAGCCCTGTTAGCGGCGAATTACATATGTCTTGACCAAATAGCAGCGATTGGTTAAATAAAAAAGTATCGACCTACCGTCGAGCGAACAAATTCTAACAAGTCAGACGGTATCTACAAAGTGAAACTGGCTGATGAATCAGGCTTACACTGAAATGGAGCAAAGGATCATGGTCTATGTAGTTCCCTCTGTCTTTTTTTAACTATTTCTGCACCATAATTCTTAATTTAAGCAAATAGACTTGTAAATCGATATATTGTGACGATCCACGATATTACTGTGAGAACTTTGACCATACGATATCACAATATTTCGGTTATTGTTACATCCCTACTCAAGAGTATCACTACTGTGGTTTAGTTTTTACTTTCTTTTGACTACAGAGAGGACGATTCTGTTTGATTTATGACATCCTGTCCTGATCTCTTTATCTCCAGGATCCAGCAGTGCAGAAGTACAACACAAAGCAAACAGAAGGATCAGACGGGCTAACATTGAAAAATAATTTATTTCAGAAATGTACTGTGTTCATATATTCATTCAGATTCTGCATGATAAGCGTTTGATGCGTACAATGAAATCACTCCACGGAGAAAAAAAAAAAAAAAAGTCAATGAGCTTTTTTTTTTTGTTCATTTTTAAGCGTTGAAGTCTAGAGCACACCACTTTATTCTTCACTATAGCAATTATGAGCGCGCCAGGACCGTGACTTGACTGTGCCCGGCCTCTAGGTGGCGCTACTCCAGGCAGGTTTACAATTGCAGCAGGACGTACTGGAGGTCGTATTCAAACCAGACACACAAAGAAGAATGATCTATAAATCTCAGCCGCTCCCGACACACGCTCTTTCACTAGCATTGTGGAGTACAGTGATCGATTACACAAAGGGGGGAGGGAAAAGAGGTGAGGCGTTTCGATGACATCATCTCTTGGCGCCTAAAAACACCACCGCGCGCCGTTTTCGAAGGGCATGACAAGTGAACAGTTACACCGTAAGGAACAAAAGCAGGAAAAATCCTCTCACCAAGTTGAAATTTTGAGGAAAACATTGCGCAGATTGTCCATAATTACTCCGATAGTTCTTAGGTCGGGAACGAAAGAACTGGAAAAACCTGGGATGTGTTTGCAGCCAGTTTCTGTCCGATTAAAATTCCTTGTAGCGATTGGATGCCGTAGTCAAAAACACGGGTTCTCCTTGAAGTGTTCGATACATAAATACAGTAAGTGTGACTATAGGCATCGTTGCACACTCACAAAGACATGTTCAGATATACAAGACTTCCTTAAATCTCTTCGCCCGTTCAGGCTCTGCACGGCCCCTGACAATGACCAGCGCCGGCCTTTAATCGCCAGACTTCAGGCCAGAGAGAGAGAGCGGTTACCACGGAAACCCATGATTAGATCCTCATTGTCCGGCGAAGTCCGAAGCTCCCGGCCAAGACATCTGGAACTGTTCGATTTGGCATTAGCCGAGAGTGTGTCGTGACCTTTTTTTTACAACCGTGTTCGTATTTAAATCCAGGCAAATGTCTCTTTTGTACTCCACAATATGGCTCCATCGGACGATTAGAGTCTCCACTGAACCCCAGACGTCTTCTATGTTTACCTACTATATATAGTATATATTTATACATTTATATACTGTGATTCAGATTGGTGCCACTTTGTACAGAATCAAGATAACCCTTAGAATGAAAAAAAAACAAACTGTAACACATTATAATAAATACACTTTAATTAGCCTTAATAAAGCATGATTAAAGACTTCATCATTATTAATAAACTATTAATTGATATGAATTAAAGGAACTGTACAGATATATTATTATTATTATCAGCTCTTGACGTCAAAATAAATCAGCTGTGTGTTGTCTGCATCTAATTATAAATCGTGGTATTGTCCAGTAATCAGGAGGTGCACTGTTAGCAGGCTAGTTGTTGGTAGGATTACCGTGACAGCAAAAAGTTGTGAAACCAAATAGCAGCGATTGGTTAAATACAAAAAAGTACTCGCCTACCATCGAGCGAACAAATCCTAATGCTGAAAGGTCAGACGGTTTCCACAAAGTGAAACTGGCTGATGAATCAGGCTAAAATGATCTACCAGTGGAATAAGTTGTTTTTAATTTTTCTTAATTCAAGCAACATTCAATTTTGTTTCTTATTTTAAGTGCAAAAAGTTGTTGTTTATCTTATTTTAAATATAGAAAGATGTATTTTCATATTTTAAGTGCAAAAAGTCTTATTCCACAAATAATTTTACTTGTCAAGTGAAATTTACTCAAGTCATGATAAAACTTTCTTAATTCAAGTCATCTTAACTTGACTAGTTTTTTGCAGTGTAAGTGAGGAATAACTTTGGATCACTACTAACTGTTTAAAATGACCTTCAAGACAGTAATAAAATTCAGAAAGTCTTTGTTCATGTTTTATTAAGGCTGATTAAGGCGTCGTTATTATAAAGTGGTGTCCGAAAAACAAACTCATGCAAGACCAACGTAAACATATAAAAATGTTGCTAACAGAAAATGATAGAAAAACTCACTCTACAGGAAAAGTGTAGCACAAAAACTAGGCGTATAAAACTACTGGTTGAGACAAAACTTAAAAAAAAAAAAAAAAGAAAAGAAAGAATGATACTGTATATAAAACAAAGGCAAATGACTTGATTGTGTTGACTTCCCATAGACATTCCTCAGTATTCCCACAAACCTAAAAGTCCAAATTGTTGCTTTTCAAACAAAGGAGGAAAAACCAGCAATGGGTGCCCTCGAGCCGGGTGCCAGGCTGCTGGGTGGCCTGTAGAGGGTGCTGTGCTGGCCGGGCGGGTTGGCGCTCTGCTGGGACGGGGTGGGAGTCCGGCTGCCTTTGGGTCTAAAGAGGGTGCCCTGGCCCTGAGGCTGCCCCTGGGCCTGCGGCTGGGGGGGCTGCGGGGTGGGGGAGCTGAGCTGGGGGGGGCAGGGGGGCAGCGGGGGCAGAGGGGGGGGCGCGCAGTGCTCAGGTTCTCCCGACTCGGACTCGGTGTAGCTGTAAGCCTGCGCGCGCGAGATCCCCTTCTGCTGACGCCGCCATGAGTTGTAGTAAGTCGGGTCGCTGATGTAGTGGTTCACGAAGGAGTGGGTTTTCTGGCGGTTGGGGTCCACTTCGTACTCGCTATCGCTCCCCTGTGGACAGAAAGTAGAGTTTGAGACAATGTTATCGAGCGAGCGGTCAGAATTGTTCAGTGTTTTCATATGGGACAGTTAGAAATGCTACAGCTAAGCCCAAAGTTTGTGTTACCCCCGGTCAGCAACTTAAAACCCACAGGCCAAGTGAAGAAATGGTGGACACGGAATTGTGATCAAAATAAGTAAGATTCAGAGAAGAATTATGAATAAAGTTTGAAGAATTTGTGAAAACGCAACTGAATAGGAAATATTGATAAATTCTGATATGATAAATAAAGATTGGTGGGAAAAGAATGCTAAAATTAAAATAAAAATTTAAAACATAAAATAAAAAATATTAAAAATACGGTATAAAAACACACAAAACTAAATTAAATACATGCAAAATAAATTAAAAATACACTAAATAAATAAAATAAAAACACACAAAATAAAAATAAAAACACAGAAATTAAAATTAAAACACACAAAATTAAATTAAAAAACAAAAAATAATATTAAAACACTAAAAATAAAATTAGAAACAGACAAAATAAAATAAAAAACACACAAAATAAATAAAATAAAAACACAAAAAATTTAATTAAAACACTCAAAATAAAATAAAAACACACAAATACATATTTAAAACATGCAAAATGAAATAAAAAACACACAAAATAAAATTAAAAACACACACAATTAAATTAAAATAAAATAAAATAAAACACAAAATAAAATTAGACAAAAAAAAAGGGGGGGATGGTTATTAACAAATAAATAAATAAAATCTTTCCAGCTGTACTTCCAGACAGAACATAAGCATTACCAAAGAAAAGAAAAAACCTCACTAAATTTTTCTATGAACTTGTTTTGGGCTTAACTGTATAAATGGAAATGGACATGAGGTTACGGATGCTTCATTGAATCACAAACATTTGGGACACGGACATGCACACACACTTTTCTTACATTTACTACACAACACGAGCACACATGGACACCCAATGGAGAAATGATGTAGGCATGACTTTAAACTGGAGCGTGCACTGCAAATGGACCATCAACACAAGATAGATCTACTGTTTCTAATCACTGTCAAGGGGACTTAACCCTAGTTACCCCCTGGATCACGTCACTGTGGTCAGTATCTCTGGATCTAACAACATGGAGGCTCACTATGGGGGATTTTACATGGGAGTTTTGGAAAAGGGGTTTGGTTTTGCGGATAGAGGGAGGTACTAGGTATGGTTCAACATTGAAAAGCAGGCAGCCACGGGAACCTCACCAAATGCAGTGGAAGTGTATGTAGGCCACCTGTCCCATATGAAAACACCAGCGCCTCCTATGGGTGGACAAAACAATGGGATTTACAGTACAGAATACGTTTTAAATGTTGGCATGGTAAAGAAAGTGACAGAATGATTTCAGGGGTTCAAATGTTACAAACATGGAGGGATGAAGCATAATGGGACCAGGGTACAACGCACATCCATGTAATATAATATGCAATGATAATAATAATAATAATAATATCCACTAAAAACTGTAGCTCGCTTGGGGAGAACTTCATGGATGATCAATTATAAAAGTAAAGTTTTGAGATAGAAAGATGGACACAATTTATACATTTGCAGGATGACGAATGACACCAGAAACTTTGAGGATTATATGACTAAAGATAGAAAAGTTAAAAGGTCAGTTCTATTTTCTTCTAGATCAGGAAAAACCCCTTTATTCCATACAGTCTGTTGCAAACGCTGCAATTTGTGAAAAAATGAACTGCCAATATTGAAAATACATTTCAAGAGCTTTTATGTTCAGGGTTCCCATTGTTTTTCACTGACAAAATTTCAAAACTTTTCCATGACCTAAAGTGAATTTTTAATGACTTTACAGCACCTGCATGAATTGATCAGAATTTTAGGGTTAAATATGAAATGTGAACTCTTTCCACTCACTTTATGGTTTGGTTTTATAGTTTAACATTCAAAATACTGTCAGTGCATTTATTGTCGTCTCTTTTAAACAAAAGGCGCAGATGTTTGGAAATAATCACAATAGCCTCATGAGAACTTAACGCACAGTGGTGTCAAACTCAAATTGACAGAAGGCCAAAATTTTAAACGGAGACAAAGTCGTGGGCCAAACTAAATATTTATTGAAAAATTTCAACATCTGCATGTTCTCTTCTTTAAAGATATGTAATGTTAAACCTTTTCTTATTAAAATAAATGGTTAATAATAGTTTTGCTTAAACATTGAATCCAGAACAAACATAATGTAAAATAACAACACAATTTTAAATAAATAATGTGTCTATCTGTGTCCGGCAGGTCAGCCCTAATACAGATTTGATATGATCTCACAGGGGCCTGAGTCTGACATGTTTGACTTTACAGAACGCTGTAATGGTGTGAAAGAGATACTAAAATCACATGACTTTTCCAAGAGTGGAAAATGACATTTTCAATTTCCATGACTTTTCCAGGATTTCCATGACTGTGGGGACCTTGTATGGGAGCAACTTTAAGGAAGGAACTCAAATGAACAGACAATTCTAGACATTGTTGAATAAGAACCACATGGAAAAAACAGTATATGACAAGATTTAACATCAGAAAGTGAGAAAGGGCAAAATAAGGCAGTGGCTAACAGTTCATTCTCTCTAATTCCCTTCTAATTTTGTATGAGATAGGCCACTGTCCCTTCCTCAACACATACAAAACTCATCAAAATATCCAAACTTCCACCAACGCGAAATAAACGACTGAGCTGACCAGTCAGTCGCCGCGATCTTTCGTTAATTACACATCACAAAAAAGTCTTTCGAATGAAGTTTTTCCTTGAAGTTAATTGTAAAAAAGCACATTGGTACTTCTTATTTCATGCTTTAATGCTCGCTAAAGTTAATTTGGTTTCCATTTCAGCCGGCGCACACCACTGGCACGCTCTGACCCTCCACCTTGCTGCAGGCTGCTGTAGAAACTCTATTGTATTCGTGTCAAGTAACATTCCATCTGTCAAACCCAAAGCATCGCCAGGCCTCAACACTCAGGCTAGCACCTCACGGTCAGCTAACCCCAGTGAAAGGAACAGGGCATACGAAGATTGTGATGGAGATTAATTACCTGGTGGAGTAATGTGCAAGCTACAGTTTCATGCCCCGCAGAAAAGGGTCCTCACTACGTCGTCAGATCAGAAATTGTGTTTCAGAAATTTTCATCGGTTCATTACTTTAGTTTCGTTGAACTTAAAGGTGCTCCGTCTACGTTTTCTGGTGACTTTTTCTAGTTTGTACCAGATTTCTTTCCATGTATGTGAGCAAAATTTGTCTTTCCTCAGTAAAAGTATATTATATAAGTAGCTCTTAATGTCAAAATAAGTTTGTGTACTGTCTGTATTAATTATAAAGCATTATATTGTAAGAGAATCAGGAATTGCACTCTTTGCATTTTAGTTGTTAGTATTATTGTGACGGTAAACTCTGATCTTGTGTCTTAACTCATCATGGTGAATAATTAGGATGCTCGAAATGCAGAAGGTGATTGAGGAAAAACTTCTGAAATGTTTGCAGTGGTCCAGTCGACTAGTTCTGTTTTCTACATTTAAAGACTTTGTAACTTAGGCTACGTTCAGACTGCAGGGCTTAATGCTCAATTCGGATTTTTTTGCGAGGTTGTTCACATTTCCAATTAAATGTGACTTGTATGTCATCTCCAGTGTGAACTTTAAATGCTCCAAAAGTGTCCCACATGTGCACTGGAGGACACAACGTTGTCACACTCAGAGCGTACTCAGTGTTTATGGAAGTCACCTAAACACTGGGCTTGTCTCCCAAAATACGGTCCAGTTCTTGGTAAAATGGACAGGTTACACATCCATGGCCACTTTGTTTGTTTCAGTCTTTAGCCTCCTTGTATTTGGTTCACAGGCTCTTTATTTTTTGTTGACACTGTAGCCAAGACCGCCTGTTGCCTTGCTCGGCCATTTCTTTGACAATCATTTCAAAAACCACCCGGTTCCAAAAACAGTGATCCCACCAAATATTAACTCACTAACCTTGCTTTACCTCCATTGTTTAGACTCCGACCCTGACATGTAGATGGGATGAATGTGACTTGGCCGTTCAGACTGAAGTCGCATGTCAAAAGATCAGATGTCTATTGGTTTTAGTAGCACATATCCAAGGCTACATTCAGACTGCAGTCTGAAGTGACCCAAATCCTATTTTTTGGCCCCTATGTGACCTGTATCTGATCTTTTAATGACAGTCTGAACCACACAGATCCGATTTTTTCAAATGTGACCCAGGACACTTGGATATGTGCTCATAAAACCGATACATATCTGATCTTTTGACATGCGACTTCAGTCTGAACGGCCAAAGTGCATTCATCCGACCTACACGTTATCAACAAGCCACAAACGTCACTATTCTGCGCTGAAGTAGGCGAAAATTGTTAATGAACTCCGTGTCACTGAAGCGAAGCACATCACCACTCACCACTCTTGGCTACGTCTCCACATCCACACATTTTTTCAACGGACGTCGCTGCCACTGCAACACAAAATGCCACGGCCAAAAACCTCGTCCTTCTCCTTCTCAATCTCCTCCTTAAAACAAGTAAGTTGTTCATGTTCTGGCTCCGGTACGAGAGGAACTTTAAAATCTCCAGGTGCTCAATGCTCGCGTCCATGTTCAGACAATTTCCGTAAACACAGAGCACGCTCGCTGCGGTTGACGTCATCGTGTCTCCAGTGCACATGCGGGACACTTTTGGGCCGTTTACTTTTTCACACTGGAGATCACATACAAGTCGCATTTAATTGGAAATGTGAACGACCTCGCAGAAACATCAGATATCACAAAAAAATCTGAATTGAGCGTGCAGTCTGAAAGTAACCTAAGTGGCCTGGGTCACATTTGAAAACATCGGATCTGTGTCGTTCAGACTGTCATTAAAAGATCAGATACAGGTTGTATAGGGGAAAAAAAATAATCTGATTTGGGTCAC